GAGTCACGGGGGCCTGGGGGCAGGGAGCCCACCGGAGAAGAAATACATGTAGCCGACATGTACTGAGCTCTGACTACGCCAGGTCCGTCCATCCACCTGTCCATCCGTCTGTCCATCCATCCATCCATCCATCCGTCTGTCCATCTTTCCATCCTTCCATCCTTCCATCCATCCATCCATCCACCCTTTACCTCCCCCCTGGGTGCAATACTTATCACAGATAAGGGCACAGCTCGCTGGTTAAGACAGAGCTGGGGGTACACCAGCTGGGGGTGCACGTCTGGCCCCAGATCTTTATTCTTTTAAAAAATACACATTTTTTATTGATTTCAGAGAGAAAGGAAGATGGAGAGAGAGAGAATCATCAATGATGAGAGAATCATGGATTGGCTGCCTCCTGCTCGCCCCCTACTGGGGATCAAGCCCACAACCCGGGCCTGTGCCCTGACCAGGAATCGAACCCGGGACCCTTCAGTCCGCAGGCTGACGCTCTATCCACTGAGCCACACCGGCCGGGGCTGTCATTTACTTGTTACAACTGTCCTGTGAAAGGGACCTGTTAGCTCAGAGAGGCTGAGACACTGGCCCAAGGCCACACAGCTAGGAGGTGGTGGAGCGGGTTCCTCCCGCGAGGCTGCCTGGCCACCGCCTCTTCCCCCACGGGCCCGTGGCCCTCCTCACTGAGGCCACCCCCGGTTTGCGTCCGCGCCCCCAGAGCTCAGCCCAGGCCCGGGCACCTCGCGGGCCCTGCACGGAGGTCTCCGGCACGCACGCCTGCTCTTGAAAACGACAGCCCCGGCTTTCATTAGTCTGATTTACACGCGCGCCGGGATCCCGGGGCGCAGGGCTGGGGGACGGGCGGCCGTCATTCATCAGAGAACACGGCAGCCGCTCCCGCTCCCTCTCGGTGCAGAAGGAGCCGCTGGATTGATGGCCGGCAGCCCGGCCCCAGGAAGGCCCGTCCTCTGCTCAGAGCATGTGCCGGGCCTCCTGCCGGCCCCACGTGGCCCATCCACCTGCCGCCCGGAGGTGGCCGCAGGGGGGGCAGCTGCCTCTCGTGGATCGATCGCCCGCTCAGGATGCCACCTGGCGCCTCTGAGAGTCCGTGAAGAGAGGGACCCCATGGGCGGTGCCTGATCAATCACCTCTCAGCCCCGTCCCTTGCGTGGCGCGTGCGGCCCGCACAATGCCCGCCGGTCACGGCGCCGTCACCGCGGCGATGAATGGCCTTTCGCACAAGAGCAGCCCCCGGCGGGCGGGCTCCCTGCGGCCTCCCTAATCGAGGTTGACGGATGTGGGGCGTGGGGCCTCGCGGCCACAGGCAGACAGCTGCTCTGCCTCCCAGATGTCCAGGGGAGCCCCCTCCCCCAGAGCGAGGCAGCTGGGTGAGCCCCAACCTGAGGGCCTGGAGGGTGAGGAGGGCTGGGGCGTGCAGCTTCCCCCGCACCGAGCTCCCCTCTCCCCCGGGATGACGATTGGCCCTGGATGGCGATTGCATTAGCGCAGATAACGTGGAAATTCATCATCTTAACCAGACGCTGCATTCCAGGGGCCTGGGCCGCAGGAGGCGAGTATTTAATTATCGCTTCTCTGCGCTCACTGGGGTGTTTGCAAATGTGATTCATGGGCAGATTGTTACCTCAGCTGAGCGCTGGGGAGGGGGGAGCCCTCAGCCTGCCAGCCCCTCTCCCCACAGCCGGCTCGGGGCAGCTGGCCCCCTCAGGGCCCCCCCAGAGCCGCCCACACCCGG